CGGAAACAGTGCTTTTCAGCACTATATAAACCAAGTGCTGTTTAAAATAGTGAGCTGTGCTGTTTTTAGAAACAGAAACTAAAGTAGAAAAGGAAACTACGTGCTCGTGGTCTAAAATTTTAGACAAAATCCTCGTGGTGGACGAAATTCGCCTCCGATATACTTGAAACTCACGTTGCGTGTAGTACACTACGTTAGCTTTACAATAAGTAACATATATTTAATATAAATTCAATAGATCTCGCGTTATTTAAGTTCTTGTGCGCGTTCCATTGTTCCGAGGCGTCGTCCTTTGTTCGTGGGTTTTCCCCGCGCGTGGGGTGACGTCAGCGGCTTGGGCGTTGGCCGACCGACTGCGCGCGCGCAGGCAACGACGCGGCAAATTCGAACGCGCTAGACAGCGCACGGCTGCCATATAGAATGAGCGATACAGAGGATCAGCCCTTTATAAAACCTCCTATTGAAAGGAAGAAAGAAAAAAGGAAAAAGAAGAAACAGGTCTCTGACAGAAGTGACGAGAGCTGTGCCAGCACTATGGAAGTGTGCACCATAGCTACAAAGGACAGCATCACCCCTTCCCCCTTATCGACGAAAAAAATGGCCCAACGAAAACGCCCTTGGCGCCCAACGGACGAGGACGAGTCCTCGGATTCGTGTGACCCGGAAACGGACGCCAGCGTTAAAGCACGTACTGTAGCCTCAAAAAAATGCCGCCCAAAATCTGATGACGAGCCGAAAGCGGTAAGTATGAATAGCAAACCCACTCCTAAAATTAGCTCTATTAATGTGCATGCAGCCCAACCTTCTACGCCTACCAAACCCATCACTACCGCGGATCCTACTCCCACCGAGGCTTACTCCAACAAGGCCACGACTCTAGTGGATGAGGTGTTGAAGTACTGCCTCGATGAGAGTAAAAAGATCGGCAAGGTACAAACCACCTTCATTATGGAGCGCGTCTCGGACCTAAATAGAATTGTAACGCGCCTTGCCCTTAGAAATAATTTTCTTTCTGGCGCTCTTCAAGCGCTCCAGTCTTCCCCCCAACTAGGCTCCCAAACTGGCCGCGCGTCTCAGCCAATCATGGCTACCGCTCCCCCCACCGCGACTGCTCCCCCCTCCACCGCGAGTCTCTCGTACGCCAGCATAGCTGGCAGAAACCTCGCCGCGCAACGACGCAGCGCCGCTACCCTCCAGTACGCTGGGCTCCCCACCACTAGTACCCGCGCTACCCCCACCCCAATGCGTTTTCTTGCGCCCAACGGCGTCCTCCCCACCAAGTCCCGCGCGTTTACCGAGCAGGTAATCGCGGCCGCGCAATCTGCTCCTGCACGACATTGTGTGGTCATCCGCCCCGAAAATCCCGTGGACTGCGACAGCGCAGCCACCAAAAAGCTCGTGTTTAAAAACGTTGACCTGCGCAAAGCACAAGTCGGTATAAATTCCGTCCGTCCGACCAAAGACGGCGGAATAATAATAGAAACGCCAAACGCCAAGGACTTAAAACTATTCTCCGAAAACGCTGAACTTAGAAAGGCAGGCCTTAGTGTTGCACCACCAAAAACTGACCTTCCAAGGGTCATAGTATACGATATCCCCAAGGACTTAGATGCCCCTGAAATCGCGGATCATATTCGAGCCCAAAATCTTGCTTCATCACCAACATTAGACAAGGCTGTATTACGCCCACTATTCAAGGTAGGACGTAAAGATAAAGAAGGCAACGACTGGGTCGTAGAAGTGTCCAGCCCAATACGCGAGTCCCTCCTCCCCCGCGGTAAGATATACGTGTCGTACTCGCATTGCCGAGTTGCCGACTACCTAGTCGCGACTAGGTGTTTTAAGTGTCAGAAATACGGTCACGTTGACAAGTATTGTAAGTCCAAGGACACAGTATGCGCCTTCTGCGCCAAAACTGGCCACTCCAATAAGGAGTGCCCAAATAGGGAAAAAAATCCAACGTGCTCGAATTGTAAAGCGCGCCAACTATCCCACAATCACTCAGCAGGCAACAGGAACTGTCCCTCGCGTTCATCTGCCCTCCTCCAAAAGGCCTCGCGGATTAAATATTAATGGAACGGTACTCCACACGTTTCGGATCGCGCCCCTCTCGTACACCCTCCCCCCAAAATTCAACACAAAATCAACACACTACCGGTAATACACGAATCCTAAAAATTGTGCAGATTAACATGCGGCGATCCCGGTTGGTGACAGCTGAGACCTCTCATATGTTAAACACCGGAGGAGTCGATGTTATTCTTGCACAAGAACCCTTTAACATCATTGGAAGGATTACCGGCTTCGGCTCCCAGAGTGTCGTGATTCACGGCGCCCCGCGTGGCGAAAATTGTCAGGCTGCCATAATCGTAAAGGGCTCTACCTTTACGATTCTAAAATTAGCTCATCTCTCCGATACACACACCACGTGCACCGAAATCTCCGGCCCTTTTGGCCACATATATCTAGTCAGCGGCTACTTCCAGCACGCTGATTCCATAGAAACCGGACTCGCGGCGATTCAGAAAATACTCGACTCCCTACGTGGAAAACCCATAATTTTTGGCATCGATGCCAACGCGCGTTCCCCATTGTGGGACAATTTACCACCACCCACTAATTCGCGCAGCCGTCGCTGTCGCGCATACACACGCGGCCGTATCCTAGAAAGATTCATCCTGCAGAATAATCTGAGGATAATAAACACACCGGGACAGACTCCCACTTTTCGAAACCATATGGGCTCATCGAACATCGACGTAACGCTCCGCACGGTAGAAACGGATCATCTAACATTCTCCTGGAAAGTCCTTGATGGCCGGACCTCTAGCGATCACAATGCCATCCTGCTTGTAATAAGCAGCAGTTCCAGTCTCCCAAACGTTCAGCCCCTTCAGGGCAGATTCGTATGCCATAGAGCCAATTGGGAGCGTTTTAGGGGGGAATTCTCAAGAATTCTCACCGAGAACGCCCCCATTCTTGAATTCGATTCACGCGACGACGTCCAGGCAGCCATTACCCACTTGGAAAATGCTATACTGGGCGCGTCGATGCTCTCCATCCCCAGGAAGAAATGGTTCCCTAGAGCCGTTCCTGGGTGGACTCCAGAATTAACACGACTAAAGCGGACAGTAAATCGACTTCGGCGAGCCTTTCAACGCGAACGGGACCCTGAAATGAGACAAGACAAATATCAAACATACTCTCGGTCGTTCAAAGAGTATCGAAGGCTCTTCCGCTTTTCCGCTAGGAACGGCTGGAGGAAACTCGTGACTCGGATAGGCCTCGAGAATCCTTGGTCAACCCCCTACAGAACAGCTTTCGGGAAACATATCCTACCCGCACTTCTGTCCTCAATTTGCCAACAGGACACTCACACTGACAATTGGCTAGACAGTGCTAACGCTCTGCTAGCCGCCTTAAGCCCAGACGACACTGCTCCGGATGGCGAGTCACACGCAAACACTCGCCACGACTATAGTCTCTCAATCCAAACACAGGATGCCCCTGATTTTGACATCGTAGTGTTATGCCGCATTATAAGGAATCTCGGGAACAGACGCTCCCCAGGTCCCGAAGGCATAGAAGTCCCAGCCTTAAAGATGGCCTTCAGCCAAACCCCAGCCCTCTTTCTAAAAATCTTTAATGGCTGTCTGAAACATGGCTTGTTCTCAACCACGTGGAAAACTGGAAGAATTAGGGCCCTCCTCAAGGGACCTGACAAACCGGAATCAGACCCTGCCTCCTATCGCCCAATATGTCTTCTCCCTGTTTTAGGGAAAGTCATGGAAAAGCTCATCGTCACGAGCCTTAACAATGTTATTTACTCTTCCGAGTTTGCCTCCCCAGCCCAGTTCGGCTTTAAGCACGGCAGCGGGACGGACGATGCTCTGTATGAGCTGCAGAGAATTGTTCAGTCCTGCACGTCCAAGCACGCGATTGCGCTCTCCTTTGATATCAAGGGAGCGTTCGATAACGTGTGGTGGCCCGCCGTCACGGCCGAACTCCGAAACCGCCGCTGCCCCAGTAACATATACAACGTGATCCTCGACTACTTTCGGGACCGCAAGGTGATCCTCCAATCTGAGCACCAAACTGCCACCAAAACCATCACTAAAGGATGCCCACAAGGATCGGTCCTCGGGCCCTCCATTTGGATCATTCTTTTTGACACACTTTTACGCGAAATCAGAACAATCGATCGCACACACGCCGTTGCCTACGCCGATGACCTGATGGTTATCGTAGAGGGGAACTCTCGTAGTTACCTTGAAGCGACGGCCGATAGGGTCATCGGGGTGGTCCACGGTTGGTGTAGCAATTGTAAACTATCCCTATCTCCGCACAAAACACTCATGTTGCGTGTAAGAGGTAGCTTGGATCTTCGTAGACCGCCAGCTATCTTTATACAGAACGCTGGACTTCGCTTCGCTGGAAGCCTAAGATACCTTGGTGTGGTGTACGGACACTCCCTGGGAGTGTCCGAACACGTTACCTATATCGCGGGCCACGCGAAAGAGAGGTTCAGCTGCATCTCCGCGTTAGTTGGATCCAAGTGGGGATACGGCTTTCAAAATCGTTCCTTGCTGTATAAAAGCATCTTCCTTCCAATAGCCACCTACGGTGCGATTGGCTGGGCTCACAAGCTCACCCAAAAGCACATCTCCATGCTCCTCAGTGCGCAGCGATTTGCCCTTCTCAGGGTAAGCGCTGCGTATCGAACAACCTCCACAGACGCACTCTGCGTCCTGACTAACCAAATTCCAATAGACCTATTCCTAATAGAAAAACGCTACCGTTTCCTCGTTCGTAAAAACATTCCCTTCACCTACCGCGAAATTCAGTTTGACCCTACTACCCATGATAATTCAAACCACCACAAAAGGGAAACTCTCGTAGCCCTTCGCGTTAGTACTCTCGAAACTTGGCAGAATAGATGGTCTTCGTCGACCAAGGGTCGAACAACCTTTCAGTTCTTTCCAGATTTGGTCGAACGAGCCGCCAGCCACGTAACAATCACCCACTACACGTCCCAATTTCTCACCGGTCACGGGAATTTCCGAGAGAAGCTACACTATTTAGGTCTAGCTGAATCTCCGGAATGTTCCTGCGGTGAAGGTCCTGAGTCTTCTACTCACGTTCTTCTCTCATGTCCTCTTTATGAAGTGGAGAGGGCACCTCTAAAACAGGCAGTTAGGGGAATGGGTCTTTCATGGCCTCCTCCTCTACGGATGCTAACTAAAGACGAACTATGCATGCAGTTCAACATATTCGCCCGAACAGTGCTCCAGAATAAAGAGACCCAGTCAGTCAACGCCGACTGACTGAACCCAACAATAGTTTAGATTTTTCTTCTTTTCTAATCTTTTATTTCATCTCGAGACGCGCTCCATTGTTCCGACGCCTCGCCCCAAATAAAACACACTTTTGCATGTCATTTCAGCATCGTGCATGCTATGCGTACAATGGTTTTGCAGAACCATGAGGGTGGCGTCTGCTGTCGTCGCGGTCGTGTCATGGTCCTCGGACCAAGAGACGGGCGTGACGTGTGCAGCTGTCTCCCGAAAATGGTCCACCCGAGTCC